ATTAGCTTTTAATTAATAAAAGATTACGTTAATTAAAACGTTAAGAAAAGGTAAGATATACGTAATTAAGCCTATAATTATAGCCTTAACGCTTAATTAAGCATTTAAATAAGAAAAAGAGAGCTTATAATAGCCTTAATAATAGGCTTAATTAAAGGGTATATTAGAATAGGTTACTTATTATAGGTATAAATTACGTACGTATAATTAAATAAGGGTAAACCCTTAACTATAAGTGGATAACCCTAATAATAAGCGCACTTATAAAAAGGGCGCATACGATTCTCTCTTTTATAGCTAGACATGGACTTGTATATATACATTATCGGTACAATTGGTGCCCTCTAAAGTGTGACAGCAATCCATTGGACCTCCGGGTCCATTCAGCCTTCCTCGTCTCGTGCCTTTAGGGCTATTATCATCCTTATCCGAGCTCTATACGCATGAGTCGCCCTCTAGCAGTTGGGCCAGAAAACCGACGAACCCCTCTTACAATCCATTATGTCTTATTAGTATAACTATCACTCTTTCCTTCTAGTCCACTGCATACTAAAGAATATCCTTCCAACACTTATCTAAATTTTACATCTTTTCGGTTTATTTGATAGATGATCGTCATAGCTATCTCAACGAAAACCTATGTGCACTTGGGCTTACCGAAAAAACTCTTGCGGCTCACGACCACTCCGAAGACAATCCCTTAGACCCTCTCCCAGCTCACATGACGAAATCCTCATGTTCAGACTAGTCCTCACCAGAGACCTTGGCTGGAGCTGGTCGTTGCGCGTCTGATCAGTACAGGCGATGCTGAAGCCCGAAACGGCCCGAGCAGCCCCTTCACAATATGGCTATCCTCCTGTTCGTCTTTTTCATTGTCATACTTCTATATTACTGCTCTCTTGCACTTAGTGTCTACGAAACCCCAGGTGGTGCTTTTACGAGCCTTCTCGTATTGGATATATCACACACTATTCAGAAATATTCGAGGATATTCTCGCATAATTTACGCAGATACGAGGATTCGCAATCAATGGTTAGGAGAACTTCCACGACAGCTTGAATGGGGTTATACGGTCAACAGGGGCGATGTTGAGGACGATGCCGAGGAAACTGAACGAGAGATTGGAGACGATTGCATTGATTTATTGAAGGGCTACAACCTTCCGAGATGCCTCCTTTTATACACAAAATGCCTCCATCCCAGCTCGGCCTCGAAACTCCCAACAGCACATCTAGGCTTATCAAGTTTGGGATCTCAAAGCCCTGTATCTGACGAGTCCCCATCCAACAAGAGCCCCTTCGCACTATATCTATCCGTCCTCTCCATCTTCTCCAATGTCAAACTTCTGTATAACTGCCCTGCTGCACCTGGTGCCTACGGAGCCCCGTATGGTGCTTCTGCAAGTCCTCTTGCTCTGTCTTGGTCCTTGACATGGGAACCTAGCAGTTTGAAGAACGCTGGAAATGCTTCTCGGGAGAACGCCAAGGTCGACGCTGCAGATGTCTGGGATACGCTCGGAGACGACGTGACTACCCTGAATGGTGATTTGGTTGGCTGTGTTGGATGGTACGAAGTCCTCCATTGAAGGATTGGATTCGTTTTTGACTTGAGTCAATGGTGGCGATTGGTTCTGACTAGTATTCGCTTGGTGTGGGTTGGACAATTGTATTGGGCTCAAGAGACAGAATGTTACAGTGTGGTTATCGTTTATATAGATTGGGGATGTTGTTGTTGGGATTCCTCAGATGTGTGGTTGGATAAATTTCATTTTGTTTTTTAGAGCAGGTTTCTTGGTCATAGAATATATAAACTAGCATCTTTACGCCAAAAAACTGATGGGGTGGGCTTCTGTTTTATTTGGTAGTCTCCAATCTTCAAGACACCTGATTCCAGTGTCTATGGTCATGTAGGCCGTGAAACGCACGAACCAACGGAATACTCGTGGACGGAAGAGGTAGTAGCGGACTTTGGCGAAAAATCCCAATGAAGGAGGGATGTCTGATGTGGTATCGAAGACTATGAGCGCGAAAGCGCACCAGCCAAGGGCTGCGATATTGGAAAAGATGCGCATGATGTGTGATGGGTTGGTGGTATGTGGTCGTGCGTCGTGCGCGATGTTTTGCTCGTTTGGATATTTCAGCGTGAACATTCGAGAATATGGGTATGTGAGAATATGAGTGTGTATATGTGTGAGTGCTTGGATTCTGGAATAATTGAATAACTGAATGATTGAATGCTGAGTGCTTGAGTGCTTGAGTCTAATTATGATTGTTCTGCTAAGTGTTGATGCTGCTCCAAAGGCGGGCACCTTCAAGCTTTATACCCCAGGAAAATGAAAAAGAATCGATTAGAAACCACGTGTTGCAGCTCGTAACTTTACCTGTCGAACCTAGTGCCAGCTCGTCTGGCGCCGGCGTCTTTCTATATGCGACGATGCGCGCTATACTGCGCCATTAGTGTTAAACAACATGCCACGGCCGTACTAGAAAGTGTCTGGTGTCCGAGGCTACATTGTATTCATCCACTGATGACCCGTCCTAGTACACTTATGCTTTGGGTTCGTCGATGTTTGGAAGCGTCGAAAGCAGACGAAGCTGGTTGCGAAACTATGAGATGATGGATTTCATGCTAACACGTTGAATCTATAATCCGCTTCTTTGTCCTTGTTTAATTTAATAGTATAGATGTGTAATGAATAAATCTCAAGGTGCCTGGGTAGAAGACGTCGACTTTATCTTGTCCTTGCGATCATGTGTGATTAAGAGATTGTGGAATAAAGGACTTGGCCCTGCATGTACTTGTCGTAACTACGCACTAAATAATCCCTCAAGACAACTTTGCTATCCTTTGGGCCTTGTTACTAGATTTAACCTTAATCGAACGTACTACTTGCAGTAGCAGACACAACCACGCTTCCCAAGGCGGCGTAAACCTCCTACCTAACAAAGGTTATACTTATAATTACGCCACTATCAGGTACATACGACCATAGCCGCTAGTAAAGATCACGATCCCGTCCGATCTCGCACGATAACCTAGCGAGCGCTGGATTAGTAGTTGGGTCGGTGACGACCAGCGAATACCCGGTGTTGTATGTTTCTTTTTGCTTTGCCCTTAAAATTTATAGATTCACCTGGCTAACGATTTATAGGCAAGAGAAACTGTCCTACATAACAACATACGACCGGTCATAGCCGCAAGCAAAGCTTTGGATCCCGTTAAGCTCTTCTCCGGGGTTTTAATGCCTCCAGATATAAATGAGTGTGCCTCTATTTTTAGAGAATGTGGTGTCCGTTTTTAGAGGACAGAGAACCGAGAGCTGGTGTGGGAGGATTACGGTTTGCCACCGTACTTTACGTTAATGCGTCTCTGGTTGCCGCACATCATGCAACCCCCGCTGATCCTTGACGAGGCATTGATCAGCTACATGTCGTCAAGATCGGGCAGGTAACACGTGGATGTAGCGTATCAGAGCGATAAGGGATATTTACTTTAGCTCACTTTAACGGGAGCGATGTCCTGTGGCTAAAGCGTCCGCGAGCCGCGGGCCGGTCAGGTCCAACTTGCATTTCCGTCAACGTGCAGAGGACGTGGTTGGCATTGAGTTTGCCATGCGTGTTGGTACTCCGTACTATTGCCCTTCCAGGCAGAAATCGCTTCAGCGCGTATTCCAACCAATCACCCACAAGCATAGCCTGACATAGACCCAAATCCCTGATGTTGTCCACGAAAAGTTCAACAATGACTTGGGCGTTTCGACTTCCTGCGCTATGCAGCCGATAGCCTGGCAGGAGGAACCCGAGGTACCCCTAATACCTACGTCTTTAGATACTAACCGTCTTTATGCTCTCTTTTTTAAGTATAAAAAGCTCGTTAAGGGAAGGAGGCACCACGTGAACGCGGGCTCTCTAGAAGGTACGAATCTGTGTAAGCTAAAGTATCTTACCTAACTTGTAATCGATTTATAGATGATAAACTTTCTTGCTTTAATTAACCTAAAACACGCTAGATTAGTATTTCGCGCCTCACTAGGAACATCACCTGTGAGCAGTAACGAGGAATCTTAAAGCGTAAGATCTAGCAGCAGACGATAGCCACTTCACGTAGCGCTTCGCATATGAAAGCTGCGCTGGCTAACAGTGTTTATAAATACGAATACATGTAACTGGAAGAAGCACGTCAAGTATTAAATGGGTCCTTTGAAGTAGTATCTCACATCCCGTCGGCCCCGTCGCCAACCTTGCTCCGAATCGCCTCAACGAGATTCCGGGACAAGCTCTTGTCCCGAAAATCAGGTCATTGCGAAAGCTCCGCCGCGACGTATAATCGGATATCGGCGTTGACGGACTCCTTGTCAAGTGCTAAGCAGTTTTCCTCGCCTATCAACGAGGGGATGTTACGGATGAACTCGGGTTTAGGCCGACCGGTACAAATCAGCTGGACATTGCCTGTGACAAGGGCTCGTTAGAGGGCTTGAAGCAAAAAGGGCTCAATTCAATAATAATCTTGTAGGATGTTAAAGGTTCTTAGTTTTTCTAAGCTATAAGGTAAGGGGAAATTACCTTATAATTCTTAATTATAAAAAGCTTTTAATTCTTACTTAATTTATATAATATTAACTCTCGTCCTTAATTATTATTTGTATAAAATAGCTTAATTAAGAAGATATAAAAGAAGTTATAAATTCTTTAAAAAGCTAGTAAGTGTAATAGCTAGAGTTTCTAAGGGATAAACTAGTTAAAGTTTATATTAGTAGAACTACTAGAGTAGTTAATCTAAGCGATTAAGCGTTATATTAATAATAGGTTATAAACTATAATTAAGTAATTAAAGTTAAAGAGTTATAAGTAAAGCTTAAGTTAATATAATAATTATATTAAAAGCTAAGAAGCTAAATTTTATTTATAAAGCGAAATTAAAAGGAATCTTATATACTCTTATAATTACTTCTTTTTTACGTAAGTAACGTAATTACTTACGCTTTTATTAATTATAATTACTTATACTACTTACTTTATTAATAGTAAGTACCTTACTATTAATTTATTATATTAACTATTAGTTTATAGTTTACCTTACTTATACCCTTTATAATATATATAATTAGCTTAACTTATAGTCTATTACTTATATATTATTAAATTATAATATAATATTCTCTCTTTTATAATCTTATTCTTAAAGTCTAAGTTTTATAAATAGTTTTATATTTCTTTTTTTTTTATTAATAGATATTCTTTTTCTTTCTTATCTTTTATAATATTCTTTATAATATTATATTTAATTGTTTTTAAAAGTTAGAACTTAAATTAATTTCTATGCGTTATTAAAATACCTTAAAGTCAAACAGGATATCGTTGGATTCTTTGCACAACTCTCCATCTGCGAATGCCAGCCAGCTGGCAGCGTCTTCCAGTCAAGAATCGGCAACTTCAGAAAAGTCCGCATCGTTGACTGGTCATGATGTTCAGGCCCAACTCAGACCGGATAGTGCGCTAAAGAACCGAGACCCCGGAACAGATGGTGCGCGAGAGGCCGAGTCACGAGAGAATTACAATGAAATGCTTGATATTTCAAGGCAATTAAGAGATGGTTAACAACGCATTGAGAATGCGATAACTGGAAAGAACAGTCTGAACCACCAAATTCGCGAAATCGCTACAATGGAGAAATGCCTCAAATGATAGCACTGAGTTTGGCATCTCACCAAAATCTTCTATTAGAAGCCAGTTTTTGAATTCCCTAAGAATAGATGGAGAACAAGTCGTTGAGATTGCACGAAATGAAGAGGGTCGCGCAACCTTATTCGTCATGGTGTTAGACCTTTCACAGGCTTGCAAGGTCCTCCAGAAATGGGTGACAGAACCTGGTGCATATGCTTCTTCATGGAATCCTGGCTTACTAACCAACGAGACAAATTTGAAGCTACAAATTGTCAGCGAAGAGAACATTCAATCGTGGTCTGATACTTGGACTACGCGTTAATGGACGATCCATTCGACTATGAACGGTCACCACCAAAGGTACTATCACAAACTAATCTAGACCTATAGGGCTTTTTACAGGCTGATAAGCTTTTTTTTGCAGCATCCTTATCGCGAATTACACGATTCGTTTAGCAGCAGTATTATGAGTGGCATTATTACGTGGGTAACTCATCCTGCCTTGAGTGTATGACGAATTTAACATATTGTCCAGGTAAATCGATGTTGATAACCCTGCGAGAGTACTATATTTTGACACCATTCAAGCAATTATTTGTTTTGCCCGAGTAACGGGTTTCTCCGATAAGGGAGGCCCTGTATTTCTGGATGGGCATGTCTCGGAATGGCGCGAAAGAGATCTCTTGAGTAGATGCGGGATGAGACGCCTCACTAATAGGAGGATATTCTTTTCCTCACGTCTTTTCGAAACCAAAGATGTCTTTTTTGGAGTATTTATGCACTATATGCGCAGCTTCATTTCCGTTAAAGAATTCAATGAAGCGAAAGGCAGCCGGGTTGATGGGCTTCAATGTCAAAGAAAATCTGTTCAGTTCAAAGGGTTCTATGGAGATGATGTCCTCCAGCTAACGGAAAGAAGATA